GGCTTCGCGCCCTGATGCTGATGCTGATGCTGTTGCCTGGCACGGGACGCACTGCGCATGCTTTTTTTGTGGAAGAAAAGGGAGGGGAGGTGGAAAAAGCAGCAGAGTGATGCAGCAACCCAGGCAGCATCAGAGGTGACGGTGGCACCTCCAGAGGTGGGGGCGGGGGAGGGAGGAAGCTGGTAGTCAGGGATTAGCCAGGGGGCAAGAAAGAAGAGTGTGGGGGTTTCCAGACCTGAATGATCTGTAGGAAACCACCAGCCAGAGAAATCGACCAGCCTTTCCCACCATCCTAGACCTGACTTAACCCCCTCCCATTTCAACCCCCTCCTTCTCGGGAAAAACTAAGGCCAAGCATTTCCTTCTTAATCCTTTATTTATTTCCTTCCTGCAAATATGTATAAAGGATTGCAGTCGGAGAGGTAAAAATAGCGCTGCTCCTCATTCAGCTCGCTGGCAGCGCGGGGAACGAGGGCTGGGAAGCACGTCCGCGCGAGGCGGGCTGGCGAGCGCGCTGACGCCCTGCGGCCTCGCAGAGCGGGACCTCGGGAGCAGGGATCCCCCGAGCGGGGCGCTCCGCCTGGTCTCTGTCGCCCGGCCTGTGCCTAGGGGCTCTGCGGAAAGCAGATGAAGCTCAAAAGTTCAGACAGGATGACTGGACGTATTCAGGAAGGATTTAGAAATTCTGGCGGGGAAGAAATACGGAGTGTGTGGCAGCTATCTTGGGAAATCCAGTATTTGTCAACCCTGTGGGTGGGCATGCATCAGAGTGCACATCTCAGATTTTAAGATCCGATCCTGACTTCTGCGGAGAAAAGAGGAGATTTTTCTCTCACGCTGTAAAAAATGAAAGAAAAAAAATTTCCTGATTTGGGTGGGTTGGCGGCCACTAAATCCGATGGTTTCAAATTAGGGCCTGTGGCATATTTCTGCCCCAAAACATAAAGCAAGCATTCATTTATTCACCTTCCCAATGTTAGTCTGAGTAATAGTATCATTATCCGTTGTTTGTATTTAAAAGTGAGCTAACATCTACTTTGGGGGATCAAGAATTCTACAATGGGGGAGGGGGCAGGGTATAGCTCAATGGTACCGTGAGGGCTTAGTATGGAGGAGATCCTGGGTTAAAATCCCCAGTACCTCCATTAAAAAAAAATTAAAATACATAAACCTAAATACCTCCCCCATCAAGAAAAATCAATGTGCAAAAATCAATTGTTTCTATACACAACAACAATCTGAAAAAGAAATAAAGAAAACAATATCATTTACAATAGTATCAAGAAGTAAAAATTTTTTAAAAGAATCCCACAGTAACAAGAAAGGATGTGATACAAGACACCATAGCAATGACAGGACAGGTGTTGTTAGCTGTCTTCTCCACCCCCACTTAACAGAAAGGGAAGAGGGAGAGAGAGCAAAAGAAAGACAAGACAGACACACACACAGAGACCAGAGATCTCAGAAGTGTTAGGGAGTTAAATACTAATATTAGCTCTTCCTCACTGTACAGGATATTAATTTGTTATCACACATTCATTAATGTGAACTTGTAATTGATGCTACCTCCCCCAAACGTGGGCAGCAACAGTTTCCCTTTTGGCTCAGTTTGTGTCTCTAGAACCTAGCATTATGTTTGTGGCACAGAGAAGGCTCTCAGAAAATATTTCCTGAATGAATAGACTAGTGGGTAGGGCACGTAGCACGAATCACACTGAGGCAGGCTGGTGATCACTCCCACTTCACCACAGTTCCTGCTTGCAGCTCAGTGTTCTTAATGGTATCTCCCTCAAGACAAGCATTCCTAGCTAAGTTTTCCCAATTTATATTTGATATAATGATATAATCCTGGAAAAGGGCTCAGGGGACGGGAGGTGGACAAGGCATACGAAGGGGAAAGGAAAAGCAAAAGACGGCCAGATATAAAGGTATTTAAAGGCATCTCTTGCAATTGAGCGACAACCTCTCAAAGCCTCTTCCAATAAATAAAGCCATGAGTCATGCTGGACCACCTGCACACCCACCAGTCAGCAGCCACCATCCCATGCACTTGGGAAACGGCATAAGGACTCAATTCCATTTCTAGTAAAGAACAGGAATGTTTGCAAAGAAGGATGTTGTCTGTTGCACTATAATCAAAAACTGCATTTATTTACAGAACTTTAATATTTTCAAACTCAGCTGGAGACAAGATGATGTATCAGTAAATGAGAGAGTGAGTCAGAGAAGAAGTAAATCACTCAGAAAAAAAAATGTACTGAAAGTTTGGCCCCTAAACCATATATTTAAGGGAAGGGTAAAAAACAGAATCAGGTATTCTTTAAGTGGTTAAATTGTTCCATTTAGTAATATTCTCATTAGGTAGTTTGAAATTTGTATTGTTACAGAGTTTAGTTCTAAATATTCTCCTCTGCACTCATAATATTTAGTAATTTTGTTCACCACCATCTATTGCTTTGCTCTGTATTCATGTCTGTGCATTTCACCTTTCCCGTGTCAAAAAACACTGAGAGCTAGGCTGCGTCTTGGTCATTCCTGATCCCCAGAGCCTAGCAGAGTAACTGGAATGGAGTCAGCATTTGATAAATGTGTACTGGGTAAAGGGGCACTCACAGATAGGAGAGGGAGGGGCTCGGCAAGCTGGACTGAAATGAAGAGAGGGATATACCAGAAGTTTGAGTGCTGCAATAACTGGTTAGACACTCACGCTGCATCCCAAGAGCATCAGGGACGGCTGGAGTGGCCTGGTCAACGAGGTAGATGTGGTAGTGTTGTAGCTGTAGGTGAAGGCAAGTGGCCAGATGGTCCGTGGGAAGAAAATTACAGCAAGCAACATGGACACTAAGTGAACATAATAAAAGATGTGTGTGAATGGTGTCCGGAAAGGGTGGCTGTCCTCACAAAAGTGGTTCAGCTGGGCTGGTTAGAAAAGAAACCAGAAGTCCTCCCTTTGCTTAACATCTGTTGCAGGGAGCAGAACTGGACTTGCTATGAAACCAGTGAGAAAACTGGGTCTGAACATGAGCAAGTAAAAGGCAGGGGTAGAAACACTAGATCTGAAAGGCATCTGCCTCAACAGGGCTGAGATGCTGGGGAAGGAGGCAGAAAAAGGGATCACAGAAGAGAGGCCTTGGAAGGTGAAAGCAGGTGAAAAGTAGGGCAATGGAGCAAAGCAGAGTCACAAGAGCAATTAAAGTGGAAAAATCACTTGACCAAAGAGCCAAGGTCAAAGAAGGTGTGCAGCAAATCAGTGCATGGTGGTGATGCTGAGGGGCGGTCTGGGGAAGTGAGAGCTCCGGCTCAAACACGGACCAAAGGGCAGAACCCTTTGATTCGAGAGCAGCTCCATCGGAGAGCTGGCTGGGAGCAGAGAATTCTGTTACGGAATCTGCTCTGGGAGGTTTCTCATTCTCTTTTTAGACTGGCTGTGAAGACTGATTTTACAAGTGGAAATGAATGCTTCCAAGGAAAGAAGTGTGATGAGAAAAACAACTTTTGTTTTCCTGACTTGCTGCCTAGGCGTTTTACAGTAGGGAAATCCTGCTCACATCCAGAGTCTGAACGCTCAGATAAGGGCTTGACTTTAAGAGTCCCACTTTAAGTTCCTGCTTTGCTTTTCCCGGGCACCTTTTCAAATAATCACTTAAGAGTTCAGCCCGTGAAAATGAGTGACCTCCGCCCCAACCATCTAAGTGATAGGTACTTGCTACCCTCGCTACCTCCTGCTCACAGGTGACGTGAAATGGAGGATTGCCCTTCCCCCTCCCTCACTCACTGCCTCCCACCCCTTTCTGGGACCTGTAAGTAATAAATCTTGTGACTCTACTTCCTTTGTGTGGGTGTACAGAAACTGTGCCTTCAATCAAAATGATCCTATGGGTTTCACTTCCCCAAAGAGGGATCTTGGGTGCTGAGAGAGCTACCTGCTGGCCCTGTGTGGGTGGCTTGTCCCCTACCCAACTCCCACCCCTAGAAGGTCATAATCTGCATGTTCTTAGTTCAATACACCAGCTCCAGCTTCTCAATGCAAGACAGTGAACTTCTGGGTGAAAGCAAAACATGAGTGAGCTCTGTTTTTGGTACTTTCCACATGGTTCTGGGGGTCAGCAAACATTTTCTATAGAGACTCATACAGCAGATATTTTAGGCCTTTTGGGCCATATGGTCTCTGACGCATATTCTTGGTCTTATTTTTTTTACAATTCTTTAAAAAATATATAAAAATCATGCAGACTGCAGGCCCTAGTTTGT